GATTCGATTTTGATCGATCCATAATGCGGCAAATCATTTAATTTTTAGAGTGCTTGTTGTCCCTCATAAAGAAAGAGGAAAAGGAAAGTTGTCCTGGTGTCGTCTGTCCTGCCTGACTGGAGGTGTCGTGACCTGCCCGCCCCGGGCCGCAGACGCGCCGTAAACATACGGATAGCTTCAAGGACGGCGGTGGGCTCGACTGCCTCGACGGAGGCGCCCGCGGCGCAGGGAGCGTCCGCCACGTTGTTTATCATAGAGTTACATCAGGCAATACTGTCAACAATATTGTAACCCAACACTTTTATTGTGTTATTTACAACAAGAGACTCGTCGAGAATAGGAAGAACATAGAGAAGAAGGTGTGGTGGCGTGGAGCACGGAACCATAACAAAGGGACCTAAACTCTTCTAAATATGGGTTTTCAAGCTTTTCTCGAACATATTTCTGTCGATTGCACACTCTCAGACCTGAACTGATTTAATTATTAGTAGCTTTATGAATCTTTTTACGCAGCTGGATTACTGACTAATTTGTTACTTATTATGTATATTGTCGTAAGTAACTCACCCTGTTAAATTCCTACAAAGCATTCGCTTTGCAGAGCTGCGAAGTATTTTGCTCCTTTGTAACTACGAAGCATTAACTTTGCAATTACAAAGTGAAGCTTTGCAATTGCGAAGCAATGAAAACGCCGCAAAGCATCACTTTGTAATTGCGAAGTTGAATGCTTCGTAGTTACAAAGGAGCAAAATACTTTGCAGGAATTTAACAGTGCACTGATACAAGAAAAGAAATTGTCAGTAATGTTAAACGAAATTATTTCGTATTACTGATAAAAACAGCTGTCAGTATAGCTTATAAAGGTTTCTTACGAAGCAGAAGCAGGAATACCTACAAGGGGTGAGACAAATAAAGTAACAGGATGAGAGTGTGTAGGTGAATTTCCTCATTTGCTTCTTTTACCAAACGAACGAGAACAGTTTCGTAAAATTGTCCATCACGTTCTTTGTTTGCGGTGCATTGCCACGTGTGGCTACTTCACTGGAAAAACCAATGTTCCCCAGGGAACGTTTCATCATGTGACCAAGCCAGGTAACGTTTCCTGATGCAACCTACCCCATGCAACAGGATAGGGAGGGCCATCACAAGCAGGTTGCATCACCAAACGTTTCCTGGTTTGGTTGCATCAAGAAACGTTCCCTTGCTAACATTATAGTTTTTCCAGTGTTTCCCCGGGGTTAACACACCGACACCGACGCGCCGCTCGTTATAGCTGTTATGCGCTCCACGGCACCGCTTTTGGCATTGCCCCTCTGCATCGCAGCGCGCGGTAACCGCTAAGCCGCGCTGAAGCCCCAAACATGCCCCCTTCTCCCCACTCTGTCTGTGGCCGGCAGGCACGCGCAGCCAACTCTCATTACTGTGCAGGAGTCACCGCGCGCGACAGGATAGAATATGCATCCCAACACTATGGCTGCATACGCAATGGAGGTGCGGGGGAACTTGGTTGGCACTGCCACCCACAACCACTGGTGTACATAATAATAATTGTTTCTTTGAATGGACTCCATAAGTGTTGCAGCCAACTCTCATTACTGTGCAGGAGTCACCGCGCGCGACAGGATAGAATATGCACCCCAACACTATGGCTGCATACGCAATGGAGGTGCGGGTGGAACTTGGCTGGCACTGCCACCCGCAACCACTAGAGTACATAATAATAATAATTGTTTCTTTGAATGGACTCCAGTGTTGTATTTGGGTCTGCGTGGCCCCATCATGCCTATCGTTCACGGTAAAAATTACGCCTTATAGGTTCAGGCAGGGATGCAAGCATCTCGTATGGTTACGCAACTCTCAGTGGGGCGCATTCCAAGAAATACCCTGGACTTGAAGCACTTCACTGGAAAAACAAAAGGTGTGGAGTCAAGTCACACCTATGAAGGGTGCGAAGGATTTCCGTGCCTTTACAAAGGCTTGAAAACTGTTTCAGTCAACACGGTTTAAAAAGATTTTTCATTTTAAGACAAGCAGAAACTATTTTTACCGTGAATATATTCAGCACACTCTCATACTACTACCACTATTTTTGTCATCCCTTGTTGCTGCGTAAAAACGTTTATGAGCCACTGACAACCGCACAACAATAGATACAGAGTATGTAACAAATCAGTCAGTAATCCTGCATAAAAACCTTAATTTATAAGCTACTAATAAATAAATCAGTACTGGTGTGAGAGTGCACCTTTACGGTTCTTTAGTGCCTCTCTCTAGGCATAGGCACTACACTGAAAATCCCCCCCCCCCCCCTCCTGCAGCGGTATGATTTAGCACCTTTGTTTTCCCAGCGATGGAGGCTCATCGGAATTTCTAATTTCCGCCTCGCCGGCTGCTCTTCTAAACGAGGCGGCTGACTCACCCTGGGCGCACAGCCAGTGCAGGCGGCGGGGCCACAGCCGCGGCCGGCTCTTGGCGGGTCGCGGCAGCGGCGCCAGACGGTACGTCTTGCAGGCGGCGGGGGCGCGGCGGGCCACACCGCGATGCCCGCGGCGCCCCACCGCCCCCGGGGCGGCTGTGGCGGGGGCGGCGACGTGCCCGTTGTTCACGGAGGAGCACGACGAGTGCATGCTGCCGGCGGCGGCGCTCTGCCCCCGGCCGATGGCGGCCTGCTTGCACGCCCTGCAGGACAGCAGCAGGAACAGCGGGCTGCGCAGCTCCTTGTTGAAGGCCAGGTAGATCCACGGGTTGACGCAGCTGTTGAGGCTGAACAGCAGCGTAAGGATGGTGTACACGTTGGACGAGTCTGCAAGGACCAGAAGGGGAGAGGGGGGTAAATAATAAAATGGAAAGAGTTGTACGACTGCAATCAATCCATTGTATAAAGGAAAATGATAAAATCCAGAACATTCGCTCCAGGTTCAACAATGTGAATTATTCAGGCAATTTCACAATGTGAATTGCTATAATCTGTTCTTTTAAAAGAACACTTCACTTTCTATATTGCGAAATCGTACCGACGGCGAGAGTGGTTTTAAACTGTAGGCCCTGTAGATACAGATACACCGCACCGTGTGACGCCTCGATAGAGTTTTCAGTGTTTCCCAACCCACCTCTCCCTTCTCTGCTGCACCTCTCACTTCATCTCGCTCTCGTTGTGCTCAACTTTATCGATGCCCTTTCCATTTAATTAGACTTTTGGCCATGCAGATAGCGGCTCTGATTTTGTTATGGGGCTACCTCTTTATTAAGCCTCAATTAGTCAATCTGTCCGTCTGTCTCTCTCGATCGCGCTTATTGTCTCCGCCCCTTCACCGATTCTCCAACTGCAGCCATAACTGTGCTCGAGTTTATCGCATTTCGCCAGCTGCCCAAAGCAGCCCGTTGCCTTCACTGTGAAAAATTAATTGTCGTACCGGGTCCGGATACTGGAAAAAATTTCCATTGGGCGAAGTCGTACAATTACAATTCAAAATTGTACGATTTTCATGCCCTACTTAATGATTTGAAATCAAGGGTCTAAACAAGTAAGAGGGGAAAGTTTCACGTGTACCGGGTGTAGTGAATGCGCAGCAATGTTGCGGGTTTGCCTACCCAATCCGCCCGTAAGGCGCCATGGCCCCTGCAGCCCTGGCGGGTATGCAATCCCGCAACACTGCTGCGTATTCACAGTTACACCCGGTACGACTAGTTTTGTAAATAGCAAATTACGAAACAAATCATACATGTATAGTGTGTTGGAGATAGAAAACAAATCTTGCTAATGGGAACACTGTTGGAGATTGAAAACGATTCTTGGAAATGGGAAGGGGGGATTCGTTACTCGTTTGCTCGAGGGTGCAAACAAATCAAATTGTTTCCTAGTTGAGTGTCTGTTTTTAAACGAGCTCCGTTCTTTTTTCTCGGAACACTGTGAAAAATAGTCGTAAGTTTACAGGAAAATTTTCCATGATGTGAGTTCGTAAAATTACAACTTGACACTGTAAAATTACAATTACCTCCTATCGACTTGGAATTGATCGAGGAGCAAAAATGGTGCACCGTAAATTTACAACAATATTTTGTAATTCCAAATTACAAGAAATGTCGTAACTTTACGAGGAAATTTTTCACAGTGAAATAAGGCCGGCTGGCCTCCGAGAGTGCCTCCCCACCTCGCTGGCCGCCCTCCAGCTCGCGGTGCTGCTCGCTCGCCCCTTGCCCGCCCGCCCTCAATGAGAAGCTCGTGGAAAGTTTCCATCATCGGGTACACAGCAGGGGCGAGGCCACGGCCGGGGCCTCGGCGACGGTAAGCCAGTATGAGGCAGCATCAGCTACGACTGTGTGAGCTCCGGACCCTGATCAGCCCCATCCAATTCGTCAAGCCAACGAACGTGGCGCCGTCCCGGCTGGGACCCGGTGGCAGTCGGCAGAGCGGAGCGGTCTAAAAGTCGGGACGTCGGGACCGACGACGAAGTCCGCTGAATGTGAGTGACGGGCGGTGAGCGGGAGAAGGGTGAGGGTCCAGGGGAGGCGAGCTTTGTGCACAAAAGCGCGCTACGAGTCGCGCCTGCCTCCAGTGACGTGCGACGATTCTGAAAATACCGAACATTTTCTCTGCCACATGAGATGCACGAGACAGACAGACAGACAGACAAACGGAATAACAGAAGAGGTTGAGGGGGGGGGGGTCAGTCGACCACGGGCCACGACCCCTGTTCTTTTCTGCCTCTCTTTGCTACCTTAATGAGATTTGGAATTGAGACCTCAAAGGGGGGCAATGCAATTGCTTGATTGCGTGAACGTACTACCTTGCAGGTACTCGGCGTCCTCCCGCACGGCGTTGCTGGCGCCGTCGCCGGGCGTGGTCCAGGCGGCCCAGAGCTGCGCGCAGATGAAGGGCCCCGAGCACACGATGTAGAGCATGATGACGAGCACGGACTGCTTGACGGTGTTGATCTTGGCCCGAGAGATGAGCGGGTTGGTGCGGCTGCTGGCCGAGCGCACCGCCACGAAGCTGCCCGCCGAGCAGGCACCGCCGCCGCGGCCGCTCCCCGCGCTGCCCGTGGTGCTCGTGTTCGTCGTGGTCGCCGTCGTCAGCAGCAGCGACCCCGCCGCCGCCATGGACGGCGTCCCGGGCGAGGCGGTCCCGGCCGGGCTGGGTGGCGAGCCGGCCAGCTGCGCAGCGCCGAACCTGGCGGGGGGGTTGTTTGATCCTTGAAAAACTTTGCAATTGTGAATCGCTTCACTGGTTGCCACCGACATTGAAAAAGAAAACAAAGAAAAGTAAACAGGAATGCTGTGGGATTCCCCCCCCCCTCCCTCCCTCCCTTCCTTTCTCCCTGCCTTCCTCCCTCCCTCCCTCCCTCCCTTCCTTTCTCCCTCCCGATAGGTCACGTCACGGCACCAGAGCCAAAGAGTGGAATGTGCAAGTGAAAATAAGAAAAGGGCTGCTGTGCCTTTGGAGTAGGGTTCTACCGGGTCCTACTCAAAAGGAGAGGAGAAATTTGCGAAGAATAAAATTGTACACACCAAAATCTAATGAACTTTTTTATGCAAAGCAAGCTTTGCGGGTTTTCTGTATCATGGACCAGCTGCGCATTTTTTAACACGCCAGCGCGAAGAAATTTGTTGACACTGGTTGGCGTTTAGAGACGCCAATATTTGATGTTATGAACGCCAACCAGTTTACATTGTATAAGAGATTGTGGTGTGTGCAGTGAAATTTTCGAAGATCGAAGAAATTCATTTTAATTCTGTACTGGGTGTACTTTTACAAGCTGAAAAAGTTGAGATGTAAGGAAGGCCAAAAGAAGAAATTTATTTTAATTCTTACGATATACACATTAGATATTTATTCATATTTGACAGGGGGGAAGGGGAGGAAGTCGGAATCGCGTATTATTGTGACCATACGTGTCGTCACGTGGGACTCAACATGTTAAAGGCTTATAGCCGAGGTAAAAGAGTGCTTTCTTAGATTAGATTATTTATACACGTTGATACCACAAGAGAGTGTCCTTTTTTTTGTGCGTTCTGTGCTAATTTTCTCACGCCGTCTTTTCGTCATCTTTCGGGACAGACATACCCTCGCCAACCAGACCAAAAGTTTCATTTCGTTTCTTCATTTTTATTCCAAGTTGGGTCGCAGAAAATAGGATTTCGAGACAATCACCTCGGTGTCAAAACGAACGTAGCCATCTCTGTATGTGTGTGTGAGTGTGTGTGATTGAGGGTCAGAACGAGCCAGCGATAGCCATTTCACTTCACTCCTTTTTGTTGTTTGACGTCGCTCTTTCCTCTGTCACACCACATGATGACAGAACCGCGCACCCTCCCCACATCCAGGCAGGCACACACACGCACGAGTCCGGCTGGATTCCCCCCCCCCCTTCTCTCTCTGTCTTATTCTCTCTCTCTCTCTCTCTCTCCCTCTCTCTCTCTCCCTCTCTCTCTCTCCTGTGCGATTCTCTCTCTCTACGTCTCCCAATGCTCCCAATTTCACACCACAAATCTCACTCCTCGGAAGTGTCAGCCAGGAGGTGAGAAGGGTCAGAGAGAGAGAGAAAGGGAGTGTGTTTGAGGTGGTGAGAGTCCAGCATTCAGACGCCCCTTCAGCCTCCGGTTTCGTCTATTATTAGTGGCTCATCTCTGCCCCCACTTTACTTTCTGTTCCCCTCCGACCCCTCCGACACACTCCTCCTCCCCCCAACTACCACATAGTCCCAGCCCCACAAAGAGCATTATTGCCCGCTTACGCCCGCCCCATCCTGCCCGCCCTGCCCGCCCCGCCCGTCCCCTCCCGCCTCTCTCTGCCGCAGCTACGAGGTCGCCGCCGGGCCGACCGAACGCTTTCGGATTACTTCGGTCCTCTTAGAGGACACGTGCGAGCTTGTGTGCGTCCCCCTCGCCCCTGCGGCGTTCAGCGCGCAAAACTTTATTATTACTTTCCATTCACAAATATGGCGCTGTTTGCAATGCATGAAGTCACACACCGTGAAAAATAGTTGAAGGTTTAACGGGAAAATTTTCCATGGAGCGTGTCGTAAAATTTAATTTAAATTGTAAAATTACAAAAGCATTGCGTACTGACTTGGAACTTGTCGGCAAGCAATAATAGGATGTCATAAATTTACAAAATATTTTTTAAATATTAATGTTAAAACGAATAGTAAATTTAAGAGGATATTTTTCACAGTACACGCCAAGATAAAATGCACACGACTTATTTTTTGTCGAGCTCCTTTTTTCAGAAACGCGGCGGGTGCTTATCGTGTTTTGATCTCAATCATGTTGTTGGGCCAGAAGGCCTTATAACGAGAAGTCGGGGGGACAAGGGCAAAGACGAACGACTTCCGGTTGCGTTCTTTAGGCGTTCTACGAACTACAGAAGCAATCTTCCTTACCTTCGGAATTGCCTTTTTCGTGTGCGGACGAGGAAGTAAGCAAATACTACGCGAAACCTTTTCGACTCTTTTCTTCCCCCTCACAAAAATATTTTTCAAATATACTGCAGCAAGCTGTCTCATAAGTAAATGGCGAGTGTAAATGACTGTGCGCGGCTCGGCATACCAGGTGGCTGACTCGTTGCCGCGCAACTTTCGTAGTTATATACTGAACCGCATGCACGCGTGCGAGAAGGCAACCCACCCGCACGCGTTCATGCGATACACTATAACTGCGAGAGTGCGCGGCGTGAGTCAGCCACCTGGTAGGGTATCACCCAGAGAGTCCGTAGTTTTGCCTTGTGTACGCGGTCGACCGTTGGTTTTACAGTCAGCTCATATAGCGCCTGGTGGGTAGGCAATATCTTGCCTGCGGTGCATGCGTGTACTGCGGGCTGGCCTACCCTGCGTCTCGCAGGCGCTCGAGCTCCCATAATTGGACATATAAATGTTTTTCTGTGCGCCCCGCAAAGGTAGCGGCCTTGTTGTAAGTCGGTGGAACCCCCGACCGAGGCAAGTCTTGGCGCCCTGCGGTGCTGTTTACATGCCCCCCCCCCCCCCCCCAAGGAAGATAGGCGACCTCGTTACCCGAAGCACTAACATCCCTACATCTTCATCCATGTTAACCCTTAATTATTACTAAATACTTTAAGGCCTACGGGCGTACCAATCTCCATAAAAGCTGAATTTAGTTTAATTTAACTTCAGTAGAACCAGTTGAAAACTGAAAAAAGCACGAATCAACAAAATCCACGATAAACGGGCCTCTACTTTCTGAACGATTACCATTCACACAGAAATAAGCTCTGTGTGGTAGGCCAGGGGAGGATCGGCGGGCCGTTTCCACTGAAATCCTTGAGCTAGCTAACCGAAATAGGCTCATGTCACAAAGCGAGAAGCCCCGGCCACACACACCGGTAAGCGTAGGCGTGCGCCTGCTGGCAGGATAGGGCGATGCGCGCGCGCCCGGCGCTGGGCGTGGCGGCCGGGGTGGCGCCCGGGGTGACGGCGGCGGCGGGCAGCGCGCTGGGGACGTGCCGCGTGGACGCGCACCGCCAGATCTCGCACGTGATCCTGGAGTACGTGAAGAAGAGGACGACGAGAGGCACCACGAACACGGAGCACGCGTACCTGGAACAGAACGACGCTCTTTGCTGCACACGGAAAAAATATCTTCTTTGCTATACCCCGTATATAGCAGCGCTATCTCGCTAAAAAAAAATAGCTAGCTAGCTATGTTGTAAAAAATTTAGGTGCGTGGCTTTAAATGAAGCTATGTAGCTAAACCTAGCTACATTCTTTGCCACATACTGTAGATTAACAGTTATCCCTCATCTACGTACTGGTAAAGCTGTACCGCTAATCATTTTCTCGCGTGCACCGGTTTTGCACCCTCCAACAAGTGTCGGTTGTGCATGAAAAGCTCTCGAAGCCCGGCATTTGAGTTTTCCCATTGTAAATCACGTCTACGTAACCCGTTCCACGTAAATATGCGACGTTGACTTCACGTGAATCTTCCTTGATTCACGTCGACTCGACGTCAAATCACGTCATCACGTACATTCATAGAAATCGACCGCAGAATCCACGTGGATGCTACGAGATTATCCCACGGGGGTGCTTTGCTCACCAAGTGACGTAGGAGCGGACACCCCAGTCGGGGGGGAAGTCGGCCCAACAGTCCGTCTCACCCGGGCCCACCTGTCTGTACGAGAAGATGAAGGCCTGCAACACGTGAAACAGAAAAAAATTCGCTACATCAGGCAATTTACTCTCCCCCTCTCCCACTCCGACAGCCTCCCCCCCCCCTTTTTTCACTCCTCCCCCAGCTTTTCTCTCACCCCTCCCTTCTTTTTCTCTTTTCCTGCCTCCGTTCCTCTCCCTGACATTCTCTGACCCCCTCTCCCCTCTCTCCTTCCCTCTCTCTCTCTCTCTCTCTGTCTCTGGAATGCCGCCCGCTCTTTTCACAATATCCAGCAAAGCTTCCCCCCGCCACAAGCGATGACTTACGGTTCGAGCGCGCCGCTGACGGATGCGGGTCCGCTTCTGCAGCGGCATACTATCCGTCATTTGTCCCCCCCCCCCAAAACCCCTGTCCGTCACCCCTCACTCGGGCCTCCCAGCCGCGCAGGTAGAGCAAGCAGGCCTGCCTCGTCTCGTCACCCAGCAGCAGCAGCAGCACCACCACCACCACTAGCCACCAGCAGCAGCAGCAGCACAGGGGCGTATTAAGGGGGCGTGGGCGGTGTATCGAAAGTTGCCTACATACAGGGGCTTTGAAGGTCAAATTACCTACCTTTAGCCCCCCCCCCCTCCTTCCCGCCCTTCCCCCTTAATACGCACCTGCAGCAGCACCAGCAGCACCAGCAGCACTAGTGAGGGCAAGCGATCCGTCACGCCCCGTTGCGTGAAATCTCTGAGGAAAAGACGGGAAAGGAGTGAAGCCCTCCCAGGCGTTGCGCAATGCTTTTACCTGAGATTGGAGCGCGCGCGGGCCCTGCTGCCACTGCTGCTGAGCGGCTGCATTACCGAAATTAGCGACGGCTAAGAAATGCGGGATTGGGGGGGCGGCGGGGGGG